CGTTTCCTTTCAAACCCGATGTGGGATGCGCTGCATCATCCACCCCCCCTTGTGGGCCCAGCGGTCACCGCTGGCACATGGGCTGGCTCTGATACCAACTGATGTAGGGGAGAAGCTTACGAGTGGGAAAAGATAAAAGGAGATACTCTCTCCAGAACACGGGATACTCTCCCAAAAGAAAACATCTAGGAGTCCCTAACTTGTCAAACAAGTAAATAAAATATCTTCCTAACCAACTAAATGATAAATAAGAGATAATAATAATAATAATAATAATAATAATAATAATAATAATAATAATAATAATAATAATAATAATAATAATAATAATAATAATAATAATTAAACTATTAAACTATCCTCATCATATAGTTATACATTAACAATTAATGAAGATAAATTTACTAAAAAGCTAAATTTGATGTATTATATTAGCTGTTTATATTATTTTTGTGATATAATTATTTCCCACACAAATATACATTTGTATTGACCAATTATGGGGAGTGCAAAAATTCAAACTCATTATAGTGAATGAAATCCACACGTGGCTAAACAAATGGAAGCACGTGAGGGGGACGTGACATCGGGCAAACACGTGAAACGAGGATCCAAACCCGTTAATTCATGTAAACCCGCCCCAACAAAGGTAGCTAGAAGATACATGTACATAACAATGAACTACAAGGGGAATCTACTACAAAACCTTAAACTAGACGAAGACTGGTAAATGGTAGACAATAAGAACACAGGGAAGCTAGAACAAACCCCCCCAAATAATAAAAAAAAAATACTCGGTCGATGAAAATTCCATCTACATACTGAAAATCCACAGCCGTTCGATTAAGAGATTCAAACAAACTTTGAAGGTTGAGTCTTGGAAGTAATATAATTCTTCATGGGGTAAAAACACTTTGAATCTGAGCTGAGGATCCATCGAAAGGAACTTATAAAGAATTATCTCTCGCATAAACAATTTTAGGATTAGTTGAAGTAATCCGAATTGTTCAATGAGATAAAATGAGCGTCTTTTGACGAATCTCCATCATACCAAGTTATGGATCCTGCGAGGATTTAACACAACCATCGATTGGCATCAAAATAATATGTGGGAAGAGTTGGATAAAATAAATAAATAAATACTGCGTTCTTTAGTGTACTTGATTCAATTAAGATTATGTTTCGTAGACAAATAAGTTAGCTTATAGTTTATTTGATTAGCTTATAAGCTTTGTTTGGTTTGACAAGTTTTTTTTTTAAAAGCTAGAGCTTATCTCATAACCTTCTTTAGGTAGTTTCTCAAATAAGCTAGTTGGAATTTTTATTTTGTTAAAACTTTTATCATATATGCTAACTTTTCAGTTATAAGTTATAAGCTATAAGCTATAAGCTCGAAAATTACTGCTAAGCTATAAGTTAGCTTATCAGCTATCAACTAGTTTTACCAAATATAGTCTATGTTTGGTAAACAAATAAGCTAGTTTATAGCTTATTTTGTTAGCTTATAAGCTTCTTGTGTTCAAACAACTTTCGCTTATCTCATAAACTAATTTGGGTATCTTTTCAAATAAACTCGTTGAAGTTTTTGTTTCAGCTAGCTTATCACCTATTTTTACCGAACACTTTTATCATATAAACTACATTTTCAGCTATAAGCTCGAAAATCACTTATCTTAGCTAGCTTATCATCTATCAACTAGCTTATAGTTAGTTTTACCAAACATGGCCAAAATTGATGTGATTCGTAGAGAACTTGCTAACATTTTGCTCATATTCGAAATTCGAACCAAAAAAAAATTAAAATTGCAGAGTAAAAAACTTAAGCAGCCTTTTCACATACCTGTTGTCATTGTTGCTTGCTCCTCCTCTCGCGTGATATGGAGTATGATGGTTCCCGAGAGAACCGTAATAAATCCACATATTTCAGAAGTTATGCTGCTCAAATTCTGACCCAGTGATTAAAATAGCGCGCCATGGCGTCGCCATGGCGCGAGGCGAGGCGAGGCGAGGCTTCAACGCCTCATACCCTTGAGGCGAGGCGACCTTGTGAAAGGCGACGCCATGGCGTCGCCTCGGATGTAGCGCAGCGTAGCGCGAGGCGACGCCTTATGAAGGTAAGGCGAGACAAAGCAATTTAGGTATTTTTATACCTAGGGTTTCCTTTACGGGAGATTAAAACTTATCAACTAACACAAATTACTTACCAAACTACAAAATTACCATGGGTCCTTTGTTCCACCGGCGACGGCGACCAGATTCCGGCAGCTAACCGGCGAACGCGTGTTCGGTACATGCTCCAATTTTTCCTTTTCTTCTTCTCTTTCTTTTTTCCTTTCTTGCTTCAGTCATTCTTCACCAATAGTCGCCGGCTCTGGCTAAACTTCCGTCGCCGGCGGCCGGGGGTGCTGACAGTAGCGACCGGGATGAAAAGCGAACTTGGGGGAGGGGGGGACTGGGCTTAACATGTTTTTTTTTTCTATTTTTATTATTTATTTTGTTTATTTATGAATGTGGAGCATTGACTTCTTTTTTAATGCTCAGTAGACATTACATTATTATTGTAATTGGGAATTTGGCATAATGTGGAATTGTGAGGTAGGTTGATGCTTATTCTAATTGGAATCGTGTGGGTTAATGCTATATCTTTTTTTTAATTTGTTTAATGTTGTTTTTATTTTAATGTGTGGTGTTTTGTTGCATGTTTATTAGCTGTTATAATTTATTTTTATATACATAATTGGGTTAGAATTTGGTAAAATGTCACATGAACATATATTTTATTTTTTCTGTAATGGCTCGCCTCGCTTTCATAAGGCGGGCGCCTCGCCGCACGCCTCACGCCATGGCAAATCGGAGCCTTGTCGCCTCGGCTCGCCTCGCGCTATTTTAATCACTGTTCTGACCCGACCAATCCTAATACAAGTGGGGAATGATTCTTTGTCAGTGAATGAATATATGCATATAACCTTAAAAATCCGATGAAAATCACGACTAGTTTACCTTGAACATTATAGCGCTTGCAATAATAGTCAGTGTTGTGAACATCACGTAATATATAGGCGAAACAATTGCAGCATTGAAAGTGTCGAGTGCCTAAACAGAACAAGGCAAAGTATCTCAAATATTTTAACTAAGGTACAAACCATAGGGGTCTAAAGACTACCTTTTGAGGTCAAGGAAATTGTTTAGCAAAAGAGTTCCAGTTACCTTTCAAACAGTACACCCCGTTGAGGGTTTTTTTTTTTTTTTGCGAAACTGTTGGTTTAATGTTATAGCAATTTTAGTCTCAAGATTCTAACTTCTCGCTTTTGGTTATGTGATTTAATATTTTACTGCAATTTTATTCCTTTGATTCCTTTTGAGGATTAAAATTGCAATAAAATTTTAAATTGCAGAATTTTAATTTCTAATTGAAATGCAGGGAATTTGGGAATTTGTTGCAAGTTTAGTCCTTGGAACTAAAATTGCTATGACATTTAACCAACATGACTAAAAATATAATTTTGTCTTCTTTTTTTTTCATAAAAAATCTTTATAGCCGTGCAGTTTGTAAAATCGAGACAAATGCCATGAGAAGCATTCAAAAATTCGAAGATTGTTATTATTATTACTAATAGGCTTGGCATCGAGAATCAAATCATCACCAAATACGATTGATTACCTTGTTTAGATAATTCAATTGTGTGATCACACATATTACTGCAACTGAAAGAAAAAACCAGGTCTGCACATATCCGAACTGATTGATCCCTTCCAAAGTGAGCTTAATAGCGATTCCTATCGCCTTTATGCTCACAACCTTCATAATGATACCCGAAAATGCAATTAGATTTCGGAACAGAGCCATAGAATCTTTTTTCTCAAGAACTCTTACGGGAAAAAAACTACAGAACCCTCCTCAAGAAAATTTTGATAGTCAAATCACTTCGAAATTCAATACATTTCATTTATCATCAAAAGCCTCCTCAATGGTAGGTTTCGAAGTTATTCCAATATCTAGGTACAAAATTATATATACCTCTTAGGTAGATATAACAAAGACCACTTGAGGTTCACATTTCAAAACAAGAAACTCCCCTTGCTGAAAATTTCACTTTAAAGAGGATAATCGGACTTTTTTTTTGGGAGTAGTTATACTGAACTGCAAGAGTATTTTTCAACAAAGCTATTGAAGCTTTTTCTCAAGAACTCTTAGGGGAAAAAAAAAAACTACTGAAGCCTCCTCAAGAAATTTGATAGTCAAATCACTTCAAAAATTCAACACATTAATTTATCTAGTTACAAAATTACCTATACCTCTTAGGTATAACAAATACCACTTGAGGTTCATATTTTGAAATAAGAAACTCCCTTTGCTGAAAATTTCACTTTTAAGAGGACAATTTGACTTTTTTTTTTTTTTTTTTTTTT